TTAATAATGTATTATTCCAAAGAATATTCCGATTTTTTTATCATAGTTTTATTCCACTTTAAAATTACATACATTGCATAAGTACTAAAAAACGACAAGATGTAATGTAAAAAGTTTTTTAATTGTTTTAGGTAGGTTTGTTTTGCAAATTCACGTTTTATATGGAAAGTTTATTAAACCCTTTTGTATTCGTTTTATTATAATTAAATTAAGCAGAATAAGAAGCCTTAAATTAAAAATTATTTCTGTAACTGTACTCACAACGTCACAGTATATTAAATTCCAGAAACTTTGACAAAAATTAAATCTTGGAAATAATTGCGTTCTTTAAAAACAAATTAAGTTCTTTGTTACAAAGTCTTTAATTACTACGTATATGTAGACACTGGTCGTTTATGTTTTTCCTTTTTTTAATATTTTAAGTAGAGTTCTTTTAATTTAATTTGCAACTATTATTTTTTTCTATGCACACTAAACATATCGAATATAATAATGCATATTTATATCTTTTTTTATATTTAACATTTCAAAACAAAAAAAGAATCAATTTATTTGAAATTCAGTAACAGGTAAGTGAGGTAGAGAAATCATTTTTATAACTTATAATTAATTCGCGTATCTAATTTAATCGAGTTCTCATCACACTGATGCTATATAGAGATACTAGCACGTGTTGGAGAACGAGACCGCATACCTTTTGTATTTTTTACATACGATAATATAAATATCTGTTAAGTTTTAAATATGATCGATTTTATCCCACGATATTTCGTAAACAAATTGGATAAAGTGATTTTATTAACTTCTCTATTTATAAATAAGAAACGTTTTTATTTTCGAATGGTTGAGAATCCAATATAGATCTAATTAACGTATAAAATAAATATATTTACAGCACGACAACACGTGACGAGTTTAGATTTAGGTAAAGGTAGTATTTCCAATTTAAATCGTGAGGGTTTTAAATGGTGCACTTTTCTATAAACGGAAAGGAAGTTAATTTAAATCTTTAAATGTCACCCTGATAAATTCTTATGATAAAATTGTACCGATAAAAATAAACCATATAATTTTATGTTTTTATTGTTTTTACTTGCAGAAAATATTTAATCATGGCTTGGATGATGAACAGCTCGCAGGTGCACAACACATTTGCTTCGTTGGGAGCGAAACATGGGGATTCTTATATAATTAGTGAAGACTGTATTAGTAAGTTTAACTATTTATTATTTTTTTAAATTCATTCATTTTGTTTAATATCATTGGACTTTTTTACAAAAAGAAAGTTCTAAATTAAATAAGTGATATGATTATTTATGAGTATTTTTTTCAAAAAAAAAAGATAATCAAAATTTCGCGTGTCCTTGTGTTAAAAGGAACCAAAAATACGAATGATTTCGTTCGTTTAATCAAAAAATGATTTTCGTCGAATCGTAGGTCACCTTTTACAACACTTACACCAAACAAATTTAAATTGGCTTGAACCATTGTAAAGAGAAAAATTTTGTGCGCTCAAATTTGAAAAAAAAAATTAAAAATGTAAACTTTTTATAACATATTTTTGGATGGAGGCTCGTTTATGATAAATTGTGAAATTACAGGTATATTAAACGAAATCCTGAGGAATCTTGTAGTAGAAGACCGAGTTTTGAGAACTTATCGAAGGACCATAGGTTTGTGTCAGAATGTTAAGAACGACTTAATGCCCCTACTGATTCACGCACAGACGTGCAAAACGGAAACTGCCACCAAGATTGTCGATGCCACAGTTAAAATTTTGGTGAACTTAACAATTCCGGTGGAGTGTCTTCTCTCGGTGGAAACGGTTTCTCAGAGCGACGTTGGAAGGCACACAATCTTCGATTTGAATCGTCTTCTGATAACCAGCAAGGAGGTCTTCACCGACAGCAGAAGTACAAAAGCGGTCGTGGACCACATAAAGGACACCGTCGAGGAGAACGAACTCGACATTGGCAAATGTGACAGCATTAATAACTGTCTGCTGTTGTTAAGAAACGTTTTACATATACCGGAAAGCAAACTATCTCTTTCGAATGAAATAACGCAAACACATATGCAAAATCAAATTGTGTGGAATCTGTTTGCGCAAAGCATAGGCAAGATCATATTAAACTTACTGTCATGTCCAGAGAAGGTAAGCTATTATCAACCGCGCCAGAGTGATGTTTGAGAGTCGTTCTGAAAATGTTGATGGCGAACATGCGTGTGAGAATTGTTCTCGAACAGTTCTAGAGCGGCTCTCGAACTAACACCTTCTGCACCTTCGCACTTCAGCTGCTTGTTTACAGCACTTTACTGGGATTGCTTTTGTACGGTTTGTATATCCTGTTCATTTACATTTTGTATAAATTCGAAATGAGCCAGTTTTCGAATATAAAATTTATTTATTCTTAAACTTCATAAGTCCTGAGTAAAGGACCGCAAATCGTTCACATTGTCACTTAGGATTCATTTTGATGGATTTTGCGGGCCTAAGTACAATATAGCGTTATATCTGCGAACGACTTGCACTCCTTTCATGTAACTTTTAAATGTTTAATAAATAATAGTATATACAATACAGAATGTTTTGTTAGTTTTGCTTTTTTTTTAATTTTTTTAATTATCCCAAAGTATAGGTATGATATTTGCTTTTTTATTTCGTGTAATACTTTCTTAAAAAAAAAATAATCGTCTCCTAATAAAGCACATTCTTCGTATTTTGCTCTGTTAAAATAAGAAGAAAATTTTGTGGGAGATGTTACATTCGAGAACGTTCTCTTACAGTTTTATGAGTGTGCTTTTACATTGTATTTTTTATTAAACTGCATAAAGTACCTAATTTTAATTGTAATTGTCAGGCTTATTGGAGTACAACGTTGGTACAGTTGTTAGCGTCGCTGTACAAAGATCAGCACGCTGGAAACCTAAAAAAACTCATAAACTTGTGGTTCGACGCATCGCTTAGCGACAGTTCAGAAGATAATGAGAGCAACACATCACCACCCGACCAAGGAAGTTTTTTTTCATCGCCCAATATCATGTCGGATCCGACTTCTGATTCCAGTGATACAGGTGTTGCTAATACCAACAACATTAGTAATAGTAATTTAAAAAACATTAACGAATGGCGTGAAAAGAAGAGTAATAGCAAAAGTGATAGTGATAATAGTAGTACAAATGGAAAATTAGTGAAAGATACGGAAATCGTATCAAATGAGGAGAAGAACGACGCTGGGTGTAGCGCAACTTCCTCAGAATCCAGTTCTAGATGTAGGAACTTCGAAGATGGTGGTAGTTCCGGAAAACATTTTGAAAGGGACACCTCCATAGATGTCAGCGAAATATCGACGGATCCGAAAGAAAATTCTTCATCGAATGACAAAGAGTCCGAATGCGACAGTGATAACAGGAACAATAAGCAACTTTATAAATCCATGAAAATGGACTGCGTTTCGGGCGAATTGTCGGATTACGGCTACGGGACTCAACCTGAAAATCCTGGAGAATCAATTTCTACCTCAAGTAATGATGATGATCAACCCCATGAGAAACCAGTTCATCAAAAGCCACCTAATTTTCATAAAACCAGATATAACAGCACCAAAAATAAAACTTTGTCTGTTTTGGAGAAAAAGGAGAACAGAAAAAAGAAATTAGTAAAAAGAGGAAAAATGAATATGTAAGTATTTATTCGTACATGTATTTGTAAGTGTTGATTATCGTGAATTTTAAAATCCTATTCGTTTCAGTTCCTAATTTTGTTTATTTAATTGCAGGATCAATTTGAAGGGCTTGATACGCTATAGCCCAACAGATGACGACATAACAAACATTCTAAAAGAATTCACCATCAGCTTTTTACTAAAAGGTTACGCAGAATTAGTTTTCGATTTGCACGCCCAGTTACTAACAAATTATCATATGCAAATCGACACTTCGCACTTTTTTTGGCTTGTAACTTTCTTTCTAAAGTTCGCTACTGAATTGGAACTTGAATGGGAAATGCTAAAACCCGTGCTGTCCTTCCAAATCATTTCCTATCTAGTCTTCCAAGGCGTTTGGATATATGAAGAATTGGAAATTTTGTACAAAAATGCTGAGAGCGAAATACGACCTAGTTTGAGAAGATTACATTTGGTACGTTTAATTTATTCATTTTGCAAATTTTATTAGTAGCAACGTTAAATTTTCTAAATTTTGGCCAAAACCGCGTTTAAATCGGTTAAGAAATAATAAGCTACATTATTTTTAAAAAATTTTACTACTACTAAATTGCTTTTAGTTTATGCTAATGTAATGGTAAAACAACTGTAAATAATATAAGTATTTAACATGGTTATTTATTACAGACCGTAACAGCTCTAAAAGAATTTTTGCAAGCAGTTGATACTTATTCGAAGGCAACGTGTTTGACTGAGCGCAACAGGAAAGAATTGGAAAAGTTGAAAACTCAAATTGTTGGAATGGAAGAACTAAAAAGATTATTCGTTTTACTTCTCTATCAATATGACAAAAATACCCAGAGCAAACAATATTTACAAGATTTAATTGAAACGAATCACATGTATCTTCTGTTTTACGACAATGTTTGTGGAAAAGAAAATCACCCCACAGATATAATGGATCATTTGAAGAAGTAAGTTATATTTCTTGTAAATGTGAAAACGTAAGTAGGCAGACAGGAAATGCTTAAAATTATCCTTAGATTTTATTAAGCTTTTAATCGAGAGAACATTTTCCATTTATGTATAAAAAGTTTGATTCTTTCAGCGATTTAGTTAGGGGGGTGGTTTCGAAAAAGGGAAGTTCCGTTATATTCGCAAGGCAGAATGTAGGTTGGTAGTATCGTAGGGTGGCAGAGTTCCAGGTAAAAAGATAGTTTGTATCAAAGTGCTTAAGTTTTCTACTTTTCATTTTTTAATGAAATTCTAAATAAAATATTTATATACAACACATAACTGTGACTTAAACTTCTTAAAATTATGAAGCACTTTATTATGTAGATATAAAACAACACGTTTGCAGCAGGAAGCAGTTTTTCTTAACTCAAATTTGTTATTTTTTTTTTTTTTATTGTAAAAATAAGAAGGAACCGTTACATCTAGTTAATATTAATGTCTTTTTATATTTGGAGATGCTTTTTTTAGCAGATTTTCGTTTCGTTTCGTTGTACAGAAAATTATAGAAAGGTGTGTAAAATTTTTCAAGTACCACTATTTATTATTTTAATGATAGCGGTAAGTGATTTAGATTAATTATTTTCTACAGAACATTGATGGTCTTCAGAATTAATATGCTCTCTTGAATTATTAATATATTTAAACGTATGCAACGTATGTAATATTTCTTTGCCTAAACAAGATTTAATTAATATTAACGATGTGGAATCATGAATAAGTTTTTAAATGTTTCAGTTTTTCTTCATCTGAAATCATGCACCAGTATGGCATACTTCTTGAAAATTTTCAAGAAAACGGAGAGTTTGTCAACAATTGTGTGTTTACAATGATGCATCATGTAGCAGGAGACTTAGACAATGTCTCCTCGCTTTTTCAACCCCATATTCTTAAAACGTTTTCGTCTATTTGGGAAACAGATTTTGACATTTGTGATGTAGGTTTTAAATTACACTTTTTGATTTAATATTGATATAAAAAGAAAGTCATGCAGATTTTGTTACAATCTTATTTATTAATAGGAGTGGTCGGATTTGATTGAATATATGATAAATAAATTCATTAGTACCTCGAAGGAAAGCGAAAACCCTGATTTCACTCGGGTGGAGCATGTAACACCGATAGTTGTGGAAGATGATATAGAAGATCTTTCAATTTTAGCAGTTTCACCAACACCTTCTGTCAATAATGAGTACGTTTCCTTTTTTCTTTTTTCAAATATTACATGATGACCCACTTCTTTCTTTCTTTTAGTTGGACCGAAGAAGAAAAGACAAAACTACAAACATATTTTGACGAGGAATGCGATGGTCAAGATACAGTGGAAAATATTCTGAAAAAATATGAAGAAGTTGGTTCGACGAATAAAACCCAAAAGCAAATTGTTAAACAGTTAATCAAACAAAAAATCATAAATGAAGACCAGGTTAATTCTGTTTTGAAAAAAGAAGACGAAGAACAGAACGATGATGTACAAGAGACCGAAGAAAGTACCCAAGAATCGTCACAAAATCAAAAAAATGATATTCACATTTTAAAGGAGTACTTAGCGAAAAATAACAAGGGTAGATTTCTCTTATGGCTTCAAGAAGTTTTAAATGAAGCGTGTTTTGCAAAATTGTTATTAAGTTATCCAGAGGAATTTAAGGATTGCAAACATGTACCTGAACCTGTAGAATATTATTATGCTTGTAAGTATAAGGTGTTTTATAGCCAAGTAAAAGTCTCAGAAAATTTTGATGAAGCGAAATCAAAAATTTGATATTCAACTCCTCGATAATGCACTATTAAATTACAATAATTTAATTGACGAGTTACTTTCGATTGCACTATTTAGACATAAACTAGTTAATTTAAATGATTTAGTACACTAGTTTATCTTTTACATAAGAATACACAAATTAATGAGACCTTTCTTGTCTGACTGAGCCACATGAATGTATAGCAAATGTAGTTATCAATATTTAAACTTAAAAATCTTTTTCAGCATTAAACTTGCCAATTCCTATAGTTCCTTGGTCGGTGGATCAAACCAATATTTTGAAACATCAACCGTTTATCCTTCTGCTACATAAATTAGGCTTCCTTTTGCCGACCGAAATAGGGAAAGTTTTTATAAGAATTCCACATTTTTGGACTCCAGATTACATACTCAATATAGCACAACAATTGGCTCCCCTTAATCCAGGTATGTACTTGAACAAATAGTTCGTTTATACTTATTGATTTACATTATGTTAATCGTGAGTAACACAATTTAATTAATTTTTTATAGCCAAATTAAAGTTTGATATAAATCAAGTTACGTCTAAACCTCAGTACAAGGACGCAACGACTCAACAGAATTATACCGTTCATAATTCCAATCACAATATGCACATAGTAAGGTAAACAACGTTTGCTACTAAAATAATATGATGAGTAAAAGGAGGTTTTAAAACGTTTTTTATTTTGTTCTAGTTCACCAATTGAGATTCCTAAATTGGATTGCTTAGTATCTGAAAAGTTAGATTCGCCCATACCGATGGATATTACTACCAAGGAAGATAGCATTTGTGATACAGCATCCATTGCTTCGGATTTAACAAGAATGTACGTTAGTGATGAAGAAGAGAAAGTGGAAAACATTCAGCAGGATGATTAAAAAAATAGTGAGTTCAGCAACTGATCTAGTAGTACTTGGCTATTACTTTTTGGATGTTTTATTTTTTTATTGGGACAGTTTAGTGAATAATAAGTTAACTCTATTTACAAAAAACGTTATATGATATATACATTTTTTGACTCTAAAAAGAAGGAATAAAAATTGTGTTGCCTAAAACATTGCAGTTGAGTTGCATGCGACAACAATTCTTCCCTTTGTTCAGTAGACAGTTCTTCAACACTAGTACTCCAAAGTTGATATACCACTTATTATTTTCTATGTAGAAAATAATATTGCTAATGTATTTTTTTTTATCTAATGAATGAATGACTATTCAATTTTGCCTTATTAAGGGACTATGATCGATAAGAGTATAAAAATGACCCTCTACAGTCAGTTTATTAACTTTTCTAAAAAAAAAAATATTAAATTATTGTTCTTTATAAGTACTTATTTAGATTTAAAATATCTCCAATTATTTTGGTGATCATTTTTACCAATTTATTGTGTATTTTCTCAATATTATCGATATATTTTATATTGGGCAAAAGCAAATACCTACTTATTCTTTTTTTTTTTTGGATTATAAATCTAACAAAAACCATATTTCAGAATCCGAGTAGTGCCTTTATACAGTCAGTATGAAATATATAGGTAATGATGGGAACGTACAATTACAGAATTGTAAAAATAATTAATTTTGGCCAGCCACTTTGGTAATTGTGTTTAACTACTGAAGTGATTCTAAGGACCAATTGAAAATATAAATGAATAAATTACTTTAGAAAACTTAGCAAACTCATAACTATTATGTGGGGCATTTTTATATTCCTATAGACTTTAATCCTTCGTTATCCACCCAGAAACTGTTATCGATCTTCAAACGTTTTTATAAAACAAATAAAATATGCCGCTGTAGTATCTTTCAGGAAAAGTACAAAGATTGTTTTGTTGGGGAGTGATTTATCGTGTTTCTAATATTTCTGACGATTCTGTGACGACACAGTTTTTACCGAATTTTCGAAAGCGTTGCAGTATTTCAAAGTATTTATTATATATATTAAAGTAAACAAATCCTACGAAAGTGTACATATAAATATTTTAGGTGTGTTGCTAAGTTGTGTGCCTAAAATAATGTACTTTTTGTAGAAGGTTTAATTGTCGTTTATACGTATTGTTTTTTACTATGTACTGTTGTATTTTAAATATATGTTTAAAAAAGCGATATTTTTAACTTTCCTAAGAAAGCAAATTTATTAGAAAATGATGTGATTTTTATCAATATTAAACACTGCCATTTCAAGTTTTCTTTGACAAGAAATCATTTAAAACAGCTGGTTTGTGTACATTTTAATATCACAATAAAAACGAAAATACTTAAGTACTTCAGCAACAATATTTATTCTTAAGACATTAATACAATTATAAATGTTATCTCATACTTTAATCATTCTTGTACATTCGTATTCTTTTTATTTAAAAGTAATAACTTCCCTTTGGGTTTTAATTTTCTGTCAATAATTTTTTGCTCGTTTGCAACTTTTTCAGCCTGTAGTTTTTTATGTCTCTCCACAGCAAAATCTACTTCGCTACTTAACATGATTATAGATTCGGCAATTTCTTTTTGTTTAATTAAACGTTTTGTCTGGCGAACGCCGTAAGGTGTTGGTCGACCATCTAAAAACGAATAGTCCGGTGAATCAGTTAAGACTCCATATGCATTTGGGTTAAGTGGCAGCCCTTTTGCTTGTCTCCACTTTTGATCTAATAAGGTGGTTCTTGAAATGTGAAAATATCTTGAAGAGATGTTGGACATTCTTCTAAGACAGTTAATTTGCCGAAAAAAGGTCATTCTATCGGTAAATTAGTGCTGGGCTAAATTAAAACCTACAACACGTTTAGTATGTTTATTTTTGTTTATTTTTGCTTCATTTTATAGGTTAACTTGTTCCATAACCTGACATAACCATACTTTTCTGACAGCTTTTAAAAGGCTGTGGAGTGACTGCCGGACTCCAGCGGCAGTGGTTTTTATCATAAAAGAAACTGGACAAGATGAACAGTTAAAGCTTGTATTATTAGTTATATGTAAAATGGAAGTTGTAAAAGGATACTTTGATTACAACATTTCTCATGAGATCGTTCAATTTAAACAGTTTTTCCAAATTTCAAAAGATCTTCTGGATTGTAAGTATAAAAATTGAACCGTGTTGATTAAGTACTTAGAAATAAAAGATAAATGAAATTTAGATGGATACAAAACCATTGCTATTAATCAAACAATTAATGAAGAAACGTTAGACAACACTCAAAAAAAGAAGAAGAAAGGTGCTGTTAAAACTTCTCTTGAATTAGTACCACAACCTATCAAATTCGAGGTAGAGTAATTGTCTCTTATTTTCCTTAAAATTAAAATAACATCATTTTTCTAGAAAATTGATGGTTTAAAAGTACTAAATCGATTGACTATAGTATTCTCTAGACAAGACGAAATATATAAAATAGTAAGCTGCATGCTTTAAATTAAAAAATTTTAAATTAAATTCGATTATTTGTAGATGAGATCAAAAAACTATAAACTATATGATATTGTGGCTGTTTTACCGACTTCAAATAATGCATTTCAGGTAGCACATGAAATTGTAATGTTTTTTTAAATTTTTGTAAAATTTTAATGTTTCAGTATGCTTGTAGTTCAATGGATTTTGACATTTTTTGCTTTGATCCTTTACTTAGTAAATTACCATATAAACTTAATCGAAAACTGTATAAACAGTTAGTTGAAAAAGGCGTTCACTTTGAAATTTGTTATAGTCCTGCTATTATAGACAACACACAAAGAAAAAATGTTATAAACACTGCACATTTATGTCATTCTTATGGTAAATCTGAAAATGTAATAATATCCAGTGGAGCAACATTTCGGCATACTTTAAGAAGTCCTTATGATATTATCAATTTGTATCCTTAAACATACACTGTATTATTTTTAGCATATTCTTTTCAAAGTATTCACATTTTTCTTAATTTGAAACTAAGAGGTCTTATATTTGGTTTAAAAGAAGAACAAGCAAAAAACTCTATACTAAGTAATGGAAGGAACGTTTTTATTCATTCAAGTAATGAAAAACGAAGTAATGTGATTTCCTAATAATTTACTTTTATTTTTTCATTTAAGTACGAAGAAAACTTGGCAAACCTTTGCTATTTCTAGAAAATGCTATAAGTAATAGAAATGAGGGTGAAACTGTTAAAGAAGACGAAGATGAAGAAGAAATGGATGTAGATCAACCAGCACAAAAGAAAACTAAACTTTAATGTAGAATAATTATGAATAACATCATGGTTTTTATATCAATCATTGAAGTCTTTTTTAATATTTTTTTTTTTATAAAATAAACGAAAATTAAATTAAAATATTACTATTAATTAATTTTCTATAAAATGGCTTTGATTAACTTTTAATGTCTCATAACTCCTTTTTTCTATAAAAGTAAGTCAGTGAATTCTTATAGCTAGTTTTAAATGTACCGCGTAAAGTTTTGTTTTTTAAAGTTCGCGCGTAAGTGGCAGCACTGAATAATACTGCAGGCTGCAGAAGTTGTGATTTCTGATAAAATGGATGCCAGTGAGTATACATGCAGTTGATATTTCTGAGAACGCAAGGAAATTTTAACGCATTTTATTAACAAAGTGTATTTATTGTGTTGTAATTCCGTAGTGTAAGTGAAATGAGTAGTTTAGATGTGTTTCATTATCTAAACGTTTGAAACTGTGAACTTCTATCTGTCGGGGATTAATACACCTGATAATAGCAGGCCGATGGTGTCCATGGTAAGTTTTGTCAACATTTCGTTGTTATTGTAGGATGATAAAGGAAATATAAGCATATAAATATGTAATCTCACATCAAAAAAGTGTTAATTTAAACGTGTTGTTAGGGAAGCATTAAAGGATTCTTCGACTGTTTTGCTACAGATATCTATTCGGTTGAAGAATCAACATTTCTAATGCGTCCATGTACATGAGATATCACCTGATTGGTCGCATTTCGACAACCAAATACAGAACTGTATTATTCTATCCAATTAAATTAGCCTGTTTTCACTTATTACTAGTAATGTCGGAATTCGTATTGATACAATTCCAACTTATTGTCGATTATTTAGGCGCAATTGTGAGCAAAAGTGAGTATTAAAGAAAATTAATGCATGTCAACTTAAACAATAGGTCTTTTTGATGTCGTGACCTTTATTGGATTCTGCAATGTCGCTAATTTGAACATGAAGCACCGAAGCGGTGGACATCTCTTAAATGGCGGTCGCCCAAAGTTCATTGTTCTCTAATGCCGGGTACTGATTATTACTGATTCTTCTATTATTATTTTGATGCATACTGTGCTGATAAACATGCACGCTACTAACATAGTATCCTACGCAACGGTTAATTTGTGTTGAGATATTTTAAGAGTATTTTTTTTTAATATTAAGTAACGGAACACCTCCTACTACTAATCAATTTTGTAATTACTGCACTGGGAAATAAGCCAGGTTTTATCTTCGGTTCTTTTAAGAATTTAGCATTTAAGTAGTGTATAGATCGTAGAATCAATTTGTCGTTGCTAAGTTGTATTTATTGTACGTCGTTTTAGTAAAGGTACCCAATCAGTATTTTTATAGGTCATTATTGTGTAAGAATATACTTAATAATTGCTAAATACCTATTTCAATTATATCTACTCTTTTTACTTAATTCGCTAATGTACCTATCTGCATAACAAGTTTACATTTTATTGTATATACGTTTATCTAGAAATTATGTAAAAGTGCGTTGCTGCAAAAGACGTCTATTATTTATTGGTAAACATTTAAAAAGATCAAATCCCAAAATGATTACTTCTAAAGGGTGAGAAGTTAGCACGCTCATGTGGTTATTATTCATAAGCGTATAGCTTTTCCCCTTTGGCGTCAATCAAATCGCCGTGGGAGATACATACCATACATAAATATCTATTTAAGTTAAAAATTAATAAATATAAACCGTATATTGTTTAACCAAGGCAGAAAGAAAGAATCTTTTTGTTATTAAATTTTTATTGTATTCATTACAGGTGCTTACGCATCTATAAAATATGATTTTGTAGTAATTGTGTTTATGGCCTTGAATGTAATATGCCTTCAAAAATTAATTTAGAACGCCGTATTAATTTGATACGTGCATTTTTTCATCGTCGAGAAAAATGTAGGTAATGGTTTTCCTTTAGATAAATTTGTGTCAGCTATGTTGATTAAAATTAATACTGATATTTCACAATTATTGTATTTTATAAACAATGAAACATGACTTTTTTACCTATATGGGTTGTACCTAGATAATGTAATTCTGAAGTAAAATTGCGAAATAAGTGTACATATCTCGCGTAAAATTTTTAATTATTCCCTCGTTGCTTTCTCCTGCATAAATTATATGTACAAGTAGCTACTTGTAACATATTTGCTTTTAATTATATTGTGTTAAACAGCGACTATACTGTTCAAATTTTTCATATAATTGGTAGGTAGGTGGGTAGGTTACCTTATGTTCGTTATAAATAGTCATATGTACATAGGTTCTTCTGTTTTCATTTTGATTAATTTTCGTTAATAACAATTAAGACGTGGCAAATTAATATACATAAATATCGCACATGTTCGTTATAATCCACCTATTGTCAATAAGAGTATTTTGCATAATGTGTATACGAAATAAAAAAATCTATCGTAAATGATTGTAAAATATTTATTTTCAGCAATGATTTAGTTAGAGATGAGGAATAACTGCAGCCTGGCGCTATGTGCCGCCTAAAGCTATGGACTCATACGACCTATTCGGGGAGGATGGAGCTGGTATGTTGGAAGGCCTGCCTGAATTGGGCTCAGGAGACCATTTCGAGCCGACGGTGACCGCTTCACGTGATGCTAACTCTTCATTTCCACAGCAACAGCAACAACCTTTGTATTCGACGCACCAAGAAAACCCCTTACAAAAGTTGGCTTCTTTCGGAGCGTCCGATTTCAGTCATATGGATCCCAACGTACAAAACATGTACCCCCAAGGCTATGGTACGGATCGGCCAATGGGACCGCCCGGTGGTACGTATCCTCATCAACGACAAATACCCAGGCCTCCTGTACCTCAGGCAGGGTCGACGCAATACCCATACCAACCCGATAATATGTATTCGATGCCCGATCATCAATTAGGTATGGGAGACTCTGCCGCTATGCAAACAGGCTGGGGACAACATTCGGGATATCCGGCAATGCATCGTTACAGTCAAATGGGCGGATACCGACAACAGACAATGGGTTACGGCCATCAACAAGATCAAAAACAGCAATTTCCCGCAACTCAGCATCCTATGATGCAACAACCTCATCAAAGTGGATATCCAATGCAACAGAGACATACGCCTCATTATCCAACCCAGGCGTCAACATACCCGGGCACGGCGACCCAAGGTTATGGAGGATACATGCATCAGCGCATGCCTCACCATCATCAGTATTCTCAAACACATCATCAATTGGATATGGGAACTTCGCAGTCACAGCAATACACTCATATGGGACATGGTCAGGCTCTAGGAACTCACACGACCTCTCATACAGCGCCTACACCTGGACACATTCCACCAACACATCCGGCAAACCAAGTTCACGCTCCTACAAATCAACAGTCTACTGCTCAAAACCATATGACTCATCCGACTAGCATGGGTTATGGTCAGACGCCTCACCAACCGATGCAACCTACTCTTCAGAGATCTATGGAAGCACCTCAAACAAACCAACAACAATATGCGCCAAAACATGCGACAGGGAATTTGGGAAATGCAAGTCCCCAGTATCGGGCACCTTTTCCACAACTTTCTCCCCAGTTATCATCACCGAGACCGCAGATGTCACCCAGACCACCGGCTCCACAAATGTCACCTAGACCGGTAATGTCACCGGCTAAGCCCAATTTGTCTCCCCATCCACAAATGCAACAACAAACATTAAGTCCCAGACCTCCGGCAACTATAACTCCCATATCAACCACTGCCTCGCCAACTCCAATGCCGCCATATTCGCAACAAAGCACCCTGCAGGCATTGGAATTAATGGTTATGCCAAACGTTAGTTCAAATAGTACCGAATACCCACCTTATCAGTCAAGAAGTTCAATAGGATTACCTTCGGGTAGTCATCCCTCTTCGGCAAACATGCGAAACCCTATGACAGACCAATGGACGCCACACCAACAACGAACGCCGCACATACCCAATATGAGTAGTGGATTAAACCTAATGGATGCCATTCCTACAAGTCAAGGGCTCCCCCCTACCCAAAACTTACCGCATTCAAATACTCTTCCGACGTCGTTGCAACAGAATACTCAAAATTTAGGAGTAGGATTTGGTGGTGAGGAACCAAGGACTGAAAATATTCCAAAGCATACATCAGTATCCGACAGTAGTATACCAATTGCTACAACACCGGCTGCGTCTACCAAAAATGAACTTGCTGCTCAATCGCCAGCTTCTTCAAACGGCTTAGATAAACCAAGCAGCACAACAAATAATATGGAAATGAACGCACCTTCGGTTTCACAATCGTCGTCTCATCCTTCGACACCAGTACCGTCTTCAACAACGGATGACAATATTCCTTTAAATCAAGAAACTAGTCTTCCTCCTAATACTGAATCAATAAAATCGATGGAGGATAATAGTAACAGTAACAGTAGTAACCTTGTACAGGCAACTCATCACAGTAGTACAACGAATAGCTTTACAGACTTCTCAAGTGTCTCCAGTATAACTAGCTACACAAATCAAAAATCACACCATGTGAAAACAAATATGGACGATCTTATGCCCTCTTATAATCAGGATTGTCCAATCTCCAAAGATTCAACAACTCCCAAATTGCAAAATTCACCTGCACCACAATCTCAATCTCACTTAACATCAATTTCATCTCCTCAAAGTCAAAGTTCTTTAAATGTTCCTACTTCATCTCCATATGGTTCTCTTCATAGTACTGCAACTTCACAGAACTTAAACATGATGTCCCATGGTCTATCAAGTAACCAAATTGACCCAGGACATACTAATCAGTACTCTGTTGGTCATTTTACCCAATCATCAAACACCATTTCGTCTAATTCGATGTCACCAGGCATACAAAACTTACATCCTGGATTGCAACAAATGCAAAACCAGCAAATACCTCATAGTTTATCATCAACCCCTACCAGTATTTCTTCTTCGCAGTCTATAACATCTATTGATCAAATGATTTCAAAAAGTCAATCAAATTTGGTAAACAATGCAGCAACTCCAGGGCACCAACAATTAACTTCAACGTCTCAAAATTCTGTGACACCTCCAATTCAGACACCACAAAGTATTAACAACCAAAGTCAGATTTCAAGCGGGCAGATTCAACCTAGTCAGCCACAGCAATCAACTGAACAGCAATTAAATCAATCTAGCCATGCATCTCTCACTCAAGTATCTTCTGGCCAATTGCCCCATACTCAGATGGCACCAAATCAAATTCCGTCTGGCCAGACACAACCAACACAGCAAATTCAACCTCCTCAACCATCAACCGGTCAAGTTCCACCCGATCAGTCACAATCGGGACAAATAATAGCAGGACAACTCCCACCAGTCCCGGGGCCAATAGCACAAACGAATCAGACACCAGTTACCGGTCCAATTCNTTCAGTGAAAATCAGGCGTGTCTGAAATATCTCTATGAAGCGTTATATCGGGCTTCTTATGTAAACTTTAAGAACGATATAAAAAGAATTTTTAAATTCTTTTCAGGGTTCTTCTTCGTGTAAGGATGTTATACTACATCAAACATGAAATTATAGGTGATTTGGTACAACACATAGCTGATGGCGTCCATGTAAGGTAGGTGTTACGCTTAGTACTGTTTAGACTCATAGTAATAACTCAATCCATGAAAATAGGAAAAGGTATAATTGTTTTATATTGGTAATAATTTTTTACAATTGTTTTATGTACTACCCCGATGGGAGCCTGCTTTTTAACTTGTGCATGTACTTGCTTGTGGCTATGCTAGCTGCTTGGCAAGAAACATTTACATTTTCACTCGAACATTTAAAATAAATACCGTTGTACTAAAATTCATTGGATTTTTCATGGAAAATGTCATTTTCACCAAAATTTAGACATTAGTTTATACATGAAAAAGACACATCAAAAGAAAAAGCAACGAGTCATTTTTTCACAGTATTATTCTATCCAATTAAATTAGCCTGTTTTCACTTATTACTAGTAATGTCGGAATTCGTATTGATACAATTCCAACTTATTGTCGATTATTTAGGCGCAATTGTGAGCAAAAGTGAGTATTAAAGAAAATTAATGCATGTCAACTTAAACAATAGGTCTTTTTGATGTCGTGACCTTTATTGGATTCTGCAATGTCGCTAATTTGAACATGAAGCACCGAAGCGGTGGACATCTCTTAAATGGCGGTCGCCCAAAGTTCATTGTTCTCTAATGCCGGGTACTGATTATTACTGATTCTTCTATTATTATTTTGATGCATACTGTGCTGATAAACATGCACGCTACTAACATAGTATCCTACGCAACGGTTAATTTGTGTTGAGATATTTTAAGAGTATTTTTTTTTAATATTAAGTAACGGAACACCTCCTACTACTAATCAATTTTGTAATTACTGCACTGGGAAATAAGCCAGGTTTTATCTTCGGTTCTTTTAAGAATTTAGCATTTAAGTAGTGTATAGATCGTAGAATCAATTTGTCGTTGCTAAGTTGTATTTATTGTACGTCGTTTTAGTAAAGGTACCCAATCAGTATTTTTATAGGTCATTATTGTGTAAGAATATACTTAATAATTGCTAAATACCTATTTCAATTATATCTACTCTTTTTACTTAATTCGCTAATGTACCTATCTGCATAACAAGTTTACATTTTATTGTATATACGTTTATCTAGAAATTATGTAAAAGTGCGTTGCTGCAAAAGACGTCTATTATTTATTGGTAAACATTTAAAAAGATCAAATCCCAAAATGATTACTTCTAAAGGGTGAGAAGTTAGCACGCTCATGTGGTTATTATTCATAAGCGTATAGCTTTTCCCCTTTGGCGTCAATCAAATCGCCGTGGGAGATACATACCATACATAAATATCTATTTAAGTTAAAAATTAATAAATATAAACCGTATATTGTTTAACCAAGGCAGAAAGAAAGAATCTTTTTGTTATTAAATTTTTATTGTATTCATTACAGGTGCTTACGCATCTATAAAATATGATTTTGTAGTAATTGTGTTTATGGCCTTGAATGTAATATGCCTTCAAAAATTAATTTAGAACGCCGTATTAATTTGATACGTGCATTTTTTCATCGTCGAGAAAAATGTAGGTAATGGTTTTCCTTTAGATAAATTTGTGTCAGCTATGTTGATTAAAATTAATACTGATATTTCACAATTATTGTATTTTATAAACAATGAAACATGACTTTTTTACCTATATGGGTTGTACCTAGATAATGTAATTCTGAAGTAAAATTGCGAAATAAGTGTACATATCTCGCGTAAAATTTTTAATTATTCCCTCGTTGCTTTCTCCTGCATAAATTATATGTACAAGTAGCTACTTGTAACATATTTGCTTTTAATTATATTGTGTTAAACAGCGACTATACTGTTCAAATTTTTCATATAATTGGTAGGTAGGTGGGTAGGTTACCTTATGTTCGTTATAAATAGTCATATGTACATAGGTTCTTCTGTTTTCATTTTGATTAATTTTCGTTAATAACAATTAAGACGTGGCAAATTAATATACATAAATATCGCACATGTTCGTTATAATCCACCTATTGTCAATAAGAGTATTTTGCATAATGTGTATACGAAATAAAAAAATCTATCGTAAATGATTGTAAAATATTTATTTTCAGCAATGATTTAGTTAGAGATGAGGAATAACTGCAGCCTGGCGCTATGTGCCGCCTAAAGCTATGGACTCATACGACCTATTCGGGGAGGATGGAGCTGGTATGTTGGAAGGCCTGCCTGAATTGGGCTCAGGAGACCATTTCGAGCCGACGGTGACCGCTTCACGTGATGCTAACTCTTCATTTCCACAGCAACAGCAACAACCTTTGTATTCGACGCACCAAGAAAACCCCTTACAAAAGTTGGCTTCTTTCGGAGCGTCCGATTTCAGTCATATGGATCCCAACGTACAAAACATGTACCCCCAAGGCTATGGTACGGATCGGCCAATGGGACCGCCCGGTGGTACGTATCCTCATCAACGACAAATACCCAGGCCTCCTGTACCTCAGGCAGGGTCGACGCAATACCCATACCAACCCGATAATATGTATTCGATGCCCGATCATCAATTAGGTATGGGAGACTCTGCCGCTATGCAAACAGGCTGGGGACAACATTCGGGATATCCGGCAATGCATCGTTACAGTCAAATGGGCGGATACCGACAACAGACAATGGGTTACGGCCATCAACAAGATCAAAAACAGCAATTTCCCGCAACTCAGCATCCTATGATGCAACAACCTCATCAAAGTGGATATCCAATGCAACAGAGACATACGCCTCATTATCCAACCCAGGCGTCAACATACCCGGGCACGGCGACCCAAGGTTATGGAGGATACATGCATCAGCGCATGCCTCACCATCATCAGTATTCTCAAACACATCATCAATTGGATATGGGAACTTCGCAGTCACAGCAATACACTCATATGGGACATGGTCAGGCTCTAGGAACTCACACGACCTCTCATACAGCGCCTACACCTGGACACATTCCACCAACACATCCGGCAAACCAAGTTCACGCTCCTACAAATCAACAGTCTACTGCTCAAAACCATATGACTCATCCGACTAGCATGGGTTATGGTCAGACGCCTCACCAACCGATGCAACCTACTCTTCAGAGATCTATGGAAGCACCTCAAACAAACCAACAACAATATGCGCCAAAACATGCGACAGGGAATTTGGGAAATGCAAGTCCCCAGTATCGGGCACCTTTTCCACAACTTTCTCCCCAGTTATCATCACCGAGACCGCAGATGTCACCCAGACCACCGGCTCCACAAATGTCACCTAGACCGGTAATGTCACCGGCTAAGCCCAATTTGTCTCCCCATCCACAAATGCAACAACAAACATTAAGTCCCAGACCTCCGGCAACTATAACTCCCATATCAACCACTGCCTCGCCAACTCCAATGCCGCCATATTCGCAACAAAGCACCCTGCAGGCATTGGAATTAATGGTTATGCCAAACGTTAGTTCAAATAGTACCGAATACCCACCTTATCAGTCAAGAAGTTCAATAGGATTACCTTCGGGTAGTCATCCCTCTTCGGCAAACATGCGAAACCCTATGACAGACCAATGGACGCCACACCAACAACGAACGCCGCACATACCCAATATGAGTAGTGGATTAAACCTAATGGATGCCATTCCTACAAGTCAAGGGCTCCCCCCTACCCAAAACTTACCGCATTCAAATACTCTTCCGACGTCGTTGCAACAGAATACTCAAAATTTAGGAGTAGGATTTGGTGGTGAGGAACCAAGGACTGAAAATATTCCAAAGCATACATCAGTATCCGACAGTAGTATACCAATTGCTACAACACCGGCTGCGTCTACCAAAAATGAACTTGCTGCTCAATCGCCAGCTTCTTCAAACGGCTTAGATAAACCAAGCAGCACAACAAATAATATGGAAATGAACGCACCTTCGGTTTCACAATCGTCGTCTCATCCTTCGACACCAGTACCGTCTTCAACAACGGATGACAATATTCCTTTAAATCAAGAAACTAGTCTTCCTCCTAATACTGAATCAATAAAATCGATGGAGGATAATAGTAACAGTAACAGTAGTAACCTTGTACAGGCAACTCATCACAGTAGTACAACGAATAGCTTTACAGACTTCTCAAGTGTCTCCAGTATAACTAGCTACACAAATCAAAAATCACACCATGTGAAAACAAATATGGACGATCTTATGCCCTCTTATAATCAGGATTGTCCAATCTCCAAAGATTCAACAACTCCCAAATTGCAAAATTCACCTGCACCACAATCTCAATCTCACTTAACATCAATTTCATCTCCTCAAAGTCAAAGTTCTTTAAATGTTCCTACTTCATCTCCATATGGTTCTCTTCATAGTACTGCAACTTCACAGAACTTAAACATGATGTCCCATGGTCTATCAAGTAACCAAATTGACCCAGGACATACTAATCAGTACTCTGTTGGTCATTTTACCCAATCATCAAACACCATTTCGTCTAATTCGATGTCACCAGGCATACAAAACTTACATCCTGGATTGCAACAAATGCAAAACCAGCAAATACCTCATAGTTTATCATCAACCCCTACCAGTATTTCTTCTTCGCAGTCTATAACATCTATTGATCAAATGATTTCAAAAAGTCAATCAAATTTGGTAAACAATGCAGCAACTCCAGGGCACCAACAATTAACTTCAACGTCTCAAAATTCTGTGACACCTCCAATTCAGACACCACAAAGTATTAACAACCAAAGTCAGATTTCAAGCGGGCAGATTCAACCTAGTCAGCCACAGCAATCAACTGAACAGCAATTAAATCAATCTAGCCATGCATCTCTCACTCAAGTATCTTCTGGCCAATTGCCCCATACTCAGATGGCACCAAATCAAATTCCGTCTGGCCAGACACAACCAACACAGCAAATTCAACCTCCTCAACCATCAACCGGTCAAGTTCCACCCGATCAGTCACAATCGGGACAAATAATAGCAGGACAACTCCCACCAGTCCCGGGGCCAATAGCACAAACGAATCAGACACCAGTTACCGGTCCAATTCATTCAAATCAAAATTCGTCTTTACAAACCGCTAACATAAGTCATCATCCTAATTTAACCAGTATGGCACACGCACAAACGCCTACTATGTATGATCAAAACAGTAGCATGATAGGACCGAACGGCCTTCCTTTAAGTACATCTAGGGGATTGACGTCGGGAATGCCTCCTCATGTAATGCCTTTAAATCATGCTGGATTACCGATGGGATTAAGTAATTCTCCAAATGTGGTTTCAAGTATGGGACCTGGGCACACTATACTGCCTAATCAAGATATGGGTTATCAACCACCCATAAGTCATCATCAAGAAAGAGCTGCCTTACAACAACAGTTGCAAGAACTTTATTGCATGCCTCCAGCATCTGAGAATCAAGACAAAATAGCACATTTGCAAGAAAGACTGTCTATTTTGGCTCAACATGAGGCAACCGATCAATGTAACGGTGGTCCACAGTGTGTTTTACAAAGTCCTTTATTTACATCACCCATGATTGACAGTCCTCAAGTAACAAGTACCACTGGCAGAGGTCGAAGTAAGGGCACTCCAAGAACTAAGAAACCTAGGCAGAAGAAATCAGATAAAGAAGTTCCACCCGTCCAAACAATTCCAAGGTCCGGAACACCTCCAATTAATAATATGGTAATGCATCAGCCTCCTCAGACTCCATTGCCTGTTTCTGAGGATTGTGTAACTGCTGGAGCAGGCCTTACCATTTCCAACAACGAAATTAATGATTTGGGTGCTGATCCAATTACTGACGAAAACGATTTTGAGTCACAAAAGAAAATAAAAGGAACTAAAAAACGAGAACCAAAAAAAACGAAAGAACCTAAAGAGCCGAAAAAGCCGAAAGAACCAAAAACTCCAAAAGAAAAAAAGAAGAAGGAACCTAAAGAGCCGAAAGATTCAAAAACAAAACGGAAGTATATTCGAAAGAAAAAATCAGATGATGATACTGGTTCTGCCACTGAAGAGTCATTCAATAAATCGTTAGATAGTGGTGGCGAAGAAAATTTGCCAATGCCAAGTGACGTATTCGAGCCATCGGAACCTAACAAAAGTGCAGAAGAAAAGAAGGAGTCAGTAGAAGTCGGCGATAATTTACCAGAATCCACGGAGGACACCGAATGTATGCAAGCAGACTCGTCTCAAACTCTAACCGAAAACGCTTTAGACGAGAACGTAGAATCAGAATCTAAGAAAGACGAATACAATTTCGAAGATCAATCAAGTTCCAACGAGGCAGAGATAGAAAAATTCAAAAGAATTCCAAAACGCAGTCGTCCTACAGTCAAAAAAGTTGTATCTTCAAAGGCTCGCAGTTCAAGGAATAGTAATAGAAGTCGCAAGCGGAAAGGACAAATGCAATTGATGGATTCCGATGGGGAGGAAGACTTAGCAGCGACTCCACCACCGTCTCCTCCAGACGATCCTGAAAGTGCAACTCATAAAAGACGATCGGCTCGTAATACCCAACGCAAGAAATATATCGATGATGTTATGTTACGATTTTCTGACGATGAATCGCCTGCAACTTCTAAAAGTAAAAAGTCATCTATTACGACGCCGCCGGCTCCTAATTCTCAACCTTCGACCCCGATTATGCCAAAAGATAGTGATAAGGAAACCGAAACACCCTCTGCTGAAACAGCCAATAAACCCAATTTTGTTTACGTTAACACAACCGATGAAGATGCCATGGTTGTACAGTACGTTCTTGCTTCAAGAATGGCGAAAAGAGAAAAGAAAATTAGTGAACTCAACAAGGAAGAAGTACAAGACAAAAAAGATGACGAAGTCAAAGAAGAAGACCAACCTGAATCTATCGAAAAAGAAGATAAAAAAGAAGAGGAGGACGAGGATAATAAAGAAAAAGAAGAAAATGTTGAGCAAACGGAAAAAACAGAAAATATCGAAACGGATAATATTAAAAACGAAACAGTAGTCCAAGAAATTGTTACTATGGACGTTGAAGAATATTACGTTAAGTATCGAAATTTTTCTTATTTACACTGTGAATGGAGAACTGAGGAAGAACTTTATAAAGGAGATAAACGAATTTCGAATAAAATAAAACGATTTAAGCAGAAACAACAACAACAAATGAACATTTTTGAAAGCTTGGACGAAGAACCGTTCAATCCTGATTATATGGAAGTAGATAGAGTTTTGGATGTTGCAGAGCATACTGATCCGAATACACAAGAAAAAATAAAGCATTATTTGGTCAAATGGCGTGCCCTACAATATGAAGATAGTACATGGGAATTAGAAGAAGATGTGGATCCTCTTAAAATTCAACAATTTGAGAAACATAGGGCTCTTCCTCCAAAAGAAAAGTGGAAACCGAAGAAAAGACCTCACCCTGATTCGTGGGTAAAAATGGAAAAATCTCCTGTTTACAAAGGTGAAAACGTACTACGAGAATATCAACTGGAAGGACTTAACTGGCTTTTATTTTCGTGGTACAATGGAAGAAATTGTATATTAGCTGACGAAATGGGATTGGGAAAAACAATTCAGAGTTTAACATTTATACATGCAGTGCATGAACATGGAATAAGAGGACCTTTTCTTATTATAGCGCCACTTTCGACGATACCAAATTGGCAAAGGGAAATAGAGTCATGGACAGACATGAATGTAGTTGTCTACCATGGCTCTTCTGCCAGTAGAAATATGATTCAAGAGTATGAAATGTTCTACAAAAGTGAGAAAGGTCAAATTATTAAAGACCTGACAAAATTTAATATTTTAATTACCACATTTGAAATTATAGTGACAGACTTTGCAGAATTGAAAGGTTTCAATTGGCGTTTGTGCATTATTGACGAAGCCCACAGATTAAAAAACCGAAACTGTAAATTACTAGAAGGTCTTCGACAATTGACTTTAGAACACAGGGTTCTGTTGTCTGGTACACCATTACAAAATAATGTTAACGAACTATTTTCTTTATTAAATTTCCTCGAACCTGCTCAGTTTCCAAGCAACGATGCCTTTTTACAAGAATTCGGTCAACTAAAAACTGAACAAGAAGTTAGTAAACTTCAGTGTGTTTTAAAACCGATGATGTTGAGAAGATTAAAAGAAGATGTTGAGAAATCACTTGCGCCAAAAGAAGAAACTGTTGTTGAAGTAGAGTTAACGAACATTCAGAAGAAATATTACAGAGGTATTCTTGAAAGAAATTTTTCATTTCTTCAAAAGGGGACAACACACGCTAACATACCAAATCTTATGAATACAATGATGGAACTTCGAAAATGTTGTATACATCCCTATCTATTGAACGGAGCCGAAGATCAGATCCAATATGATTTTAAAGTACAACATGGAGAAGACCCAGACGCATACTACAAAGCTTTGATAAACTCAAGCGGTAAAATGGTTTTAATAGATAAACTTTTGCCAAAATTGAAAGCAAACGGACATCGTGTTTTGATATTCAGTCAAATGGTACGTTGTCTTGACATTTTAGAAGATTATCTCATGTATAAAAAGTACTCATTTGAACGAATAGACGGCAGAATCAGGGGCAATCTTCGACAAGCAGCAATCGATAGATTTTCTCGGCCGGATTCTGACAGATTTGTTTTCTTACTTTGTACTAAAGCAGGAGGATTGGGTATAAATTTGACCGCAGCTGACACTGTAATAATATACGACAGCGACTGGAATCCCCAAAATGACTTACAAGCTCAAGCGAGATGTCATCGAATTGGCCAACAAAAAATGGTTAAAATTTACAGACTACTGTGTCGTAACACCTACGAACGTGAAATGTTCGATAAAGCTTCTTTGAAACTAGGTTTAGATAAGGCTATTTTACAAAGCATGAACACATCTCAAGGAGGCAAAGATTCAAGTAATAGACAATTATCGAAGAAAGAAATTGAAGATTTGTTAAAGAAAGGCGCTTACGGCGCTTTGTTAGATGAGGAGAACGATGGGGATAAGTTCTGTGAAGAAGACATTGACATGATTTTGGCAAGACGTACTCAAGTTATCACGATGGAATCAGAAAAAGGTTCGACATTTTCCAAGGCCAGTTTTGCTTCCAGTGCAAACCGATCCGATATAAATATAGACGATCCCGACTTTTGGAATAAGTGGGCGAAAAAGGCAGAAATAGACACAACCGAAAAAGATGAAACAGAGGAATTGGTGCTTTCGGAGCCACGAAGACGAACCCAAATTAAACGTTATGGACATGAAGATAACGCTATAGACATGTCTGAACTTGAATCTTCATCTGATTCAGACGCTGACGGCGAAGGCATGTCTCTAGGACTAAGAGGGCGCAGAAATAAGAAATTAAAGAAGAAAGTACGGATTGATGATTATATACCAAGAGAAGGCGAACGGGGAGAAATTGTATATGGAAGCTGGGCTCGACGTGAGTGCTTTGTGGTTGAGAGAGGGTTACTAACATTTGGATGGGGAAGATGGAAAGAAATTCTAGATCATTCCCAGTTAAGGAAAGGGTGGAAAGAATCAGATATTGAAGACTGCGCCAGAGTGATTGTAAGCATTTTCACTCACCACAAACGGTCTTTAATGTTAACATTATATCTTATTTTAGCTCTTGTACTGCTTACGTTTTTACCGTGGAGATGAGAAAATCAGAAGTTTCATTTGGGATCTAATCACTCCATCTGAAAACGGAGAAGAATTAAAAATAACCAGAAATCATCACGGTTTAAAGGATCCCGTTCCTCGTGGCATACGAAATAAAAATAAGAAAAAGAAGGAAAACAGACATGCTGCACTAACTGATCCTAATCATTGGAGCAAAAGTGAAAAATACGATGGGGACATTTTCTTGGAAAATAATTACAAAAAGCATCTTGGACGTCATGCTAACAAGTAAGTCCTAAACAATGCTGCATGTAGTTATAAGTTACTTATTACATTTAATTTTTAACTTTTTCGCCCCTATCATTTAGTATAATTGCTATTCTTTTTTTAATGATGACTATCATGCTAATTTAGAGAATGCTATAGGCGTTCAGTGAAAATCAGGCGTGTCTGAAATATCTCTATGAAGCGTTATATCGGGCTTCTTATGTAAACTTTAAGAACGATATAAAAAGAATTTTTAAATTCTTTTCAGGGTTCTTCTTCGTGTAAGGATGTTATACTACATCAAACATGAAATTATAGGTGATTTGGTACAACACATAGCTGATGGCGTCCATGTAAGGTAGGTGTTACGCTTAGTACTGTTTAGACTCATAGTAATAACTCAATCCATGAAAATAGGAAAAGGTATAATTGTTTTATATTGGTAATAATTTTTTACAATTGTTTTATGTACTACCCCGATGGGAGCCTGCTTTTTAACTTGTGCATGTACTTGCTTGTGGCTATGCTAGCTGCTTGGCAAGAAACATTTACATTTTCACTCGAACATTTAAAATAAATACCGTTGTACTAAAATTCATTGGATTTTTCATGGAAAATGTCATTTTCACCAAAATTTAGACATTAGTTTATACATGAAAAAGACACATCAAAAGAAAAAGCAACGAGTCATTTTTTCACAACGTTAGTACGAAAGAATCACTTACACATATACCCTGTCTGCTTTTTAACCTTCATTTATTTTATCATTAATTAATAACACTAATTGTTGACTAATTTGGTTCCCAATTCCCTGGTAAAAACGGTACGGCACTTGGTACCAAAATTTCCGTTTCAATTCTATTATTTTCGATTAACAGAAATAAAAAGGAAAGACTTGATTAAATATCACAGCTAAGTAAATGACAGGAAAAAAATAATAAAACTGGATTAGTAATGAGAGTGTGTTAGTTGCGTGTTGTTTACCTGGCTGTTGAGAGAAAGAAAACGATACAAAAGTCGGAAGTACATGCGTAAATAATCCCAGAATATGATAAAATCAAAATTGACAATTGGCAACGTGTGGTTTCACAGTGCCCTGCCGATAAACCCTCCTGTTACGGAGCAATTGCCTTGCGAATGGTGGGACGCAGAGTGTGACAAGTCGCTGCTAGTGGGCACATGGAAACACGGCTATGAAAACTATACCGAGATGCGTGCTGATCCCACCCTATGTTTCCTGTCCCGTTGTGGTCCGCCCTCTGCTCGAGAACTCCAGCTGGCTTCTAACATGCAACCCCCCACGCCTGCACTGTAAGTAGTCTAGGCTCCCTTACCTTCTTCGGGTGCTGCTACCACTACTGCTAGTACTACAACGGCGACTGCAGTGGCACCTTGTAATCATTTGCCGCGTCTATCTGTTATTTCTGGCGTCGTTGTTTGGGGGAAAGAACTATAAGAATAATTGTCTGGTTGGATAAAGTGGATATGGACACTTACAACACCATCTCCCCTCACATCATTTCATTTCATTGACAGTATTTCGATTAGTATTTCTTTGCTTTGCAGCTTAAATTTTGCATGAAACACAATTTTTGACATACGTTCTCTTTATACCTGTTAAGTGTGGTCCCCATTTGTATCACAATTCTAATTTATATTTATACAACTGAGAGAGACTATTAGTGTATTGTGTTTTGTAAATTCAACAATAATTTTAATGGTTTAATTAAATGTAATAAATTAAACTCATATTTACTTGTAAATAACTGCTATTTAAGAAGTTTGTTAAAATACCATAAATTTCTTAGATCTTTAGGGACAAGTAGGTGGTGCACTTCATGAACAGCGCGGCTAATAAGGGCATGTGAGGCTTGTGGTTATGGCCTGTATGTCCATTTCTTTGTAATATTTTACTGTAACATAAGATGTTTTCCCCTATTTTATTTTTTTACTCTCAAAAACTCTCAGTGGTGTTTTTGGTAAAACTTAAAATTTGAAGAAAAGTAATTTTTACCTATATGTAAAATAAGAAACAAAGTAGTTTTAGGTTTGTAATAGTGTCCATTTCTTTATTACATGAGATCTAATATTTAGAAATAGTAATGGTCAGGTTAGTCCTCTAAAAATCTCATTAAAAAGGTGTAAGGTGTTTAAGTAAATAATTGTAATGAGTAAGAAGGAATGTTCATAAAATTCATTGATGCTGTAGTAATGAAGATGACCTCGATGATGACGATGCTGCTGAAGAATCGAGCATTAAATCGATAAAAAATAGAGATGTTTCGGAGGTAAATTCAGAGGGTGCAGAACCATCTCCAGGTCCATCCGCTTCGTCAGAAACCGTACCATCGGAACCAACAGATGAAAAGAACTTTGAGGATGGCGATGATAAACTAATGTGGCCGGGAGTCACTGACTTAAACACTCGCTTAAGACGAGTCATTACTTCTTACCAAAGAAATTATCGGAAGGAAGAACAACAAAAAATGACCACTAAACCCAAGGTAATGTAGATTGTTGATTATTGTCATTGAAATAAGTATATGTGGTACAGTTCGCCAAGGCAAACTTAGTATCTAAGTTGCTAATATTAATGAATTTCTGTTTCCCTCTCTCATTTAGTATAATTTCATGCAGCCTGCTAATTTGGAAAATGCGCTTTCGTCGCCTTTAGCAGCCTTGGCACAAGTATCTCAGCAACTAGAACACAGAGATTCCCCATCTCTTACCATGCCAGGCTGGGATCTACAACAGCTGGCCCTCTATTTGCTGGTAAAATCTCATTATATTAATTTAACTTACAAATGAAAAAAGTTATTCAAAACTTGTTGGTGATTCGTGGGTGCAATGGTTTAAGTTTCATAGATCTTGTATATGAACAAATCAAATGAAAAATATGAACGTATTTATTTAAAAGCATTTTTGAATGTTGCATATTAAAAAATTTTAAGTTTGATATTTGAATTATCATTTTAAATTTGAAAGTGTGTATGTGTCTTTAATTTAAATTACATTTTTTTTTCTGTTTAATTAAGAATTGGTAATTTATTATTTTTATAATTGTTTCACTTACATTTGCATTGTAGAAAATGGAACGTCAAGGAAAACAGTTGGAACAAGTATCCCGTGATAAAGAACGGCAAACCATTTCGAAACGCTGGACGAAAAGAGAAGAAGCCGATTTCTTTCGCGTTGTTTCTTCTTACGGAGTCAATTACTACCGCAAAAAGAAAGCCTACGACTGGACAAAGTTCAAACAACTTTCGAAACTAGAAAAGAAATCAGACGATGAGCTGACAGAATACTACAAAAGTTTTGTTGTTATGTGCAAGAAACAAACAGGCGCAAAAGTGGATGAAGAAACATATGATACAACCATAGAACATATTAACGAAGAAAAGGCCAGGAGAACACTGGAACGTTTAGAGTTGCTTTCGAGGATAAGGGAGGAGGTTGTCACGCACCCAAAGTTGGACGAAAGATTGAAAGTTTGCCAAACATCCGCAGACATGCCGGAATGGTGGGTGCCTGGTAAACACGACAAAGACCTGCTTCTGGGTGTTGCCAAACATGGCCTTGGAAGAACAGACTATTACATTCTTAACGACCCAGAGCTATCTTTTCAAGAGATCTTACGCAAAAAAGTTGGAAATTGTGTGGAATCTTCTGAAAATAAAGACGCTATTAAACTGGAAAGTCACGAAGACATTTTAAAATTTGACAAAAACGAAATCCTTGTAAAACTGGAAAAGGGAGAAGGCACACTTAAGATAGAAAAGGTAAATGTGAAAAAGGATCTACCTGAGGACAAAGAAAAGAAAAAGGAGGAAAACAAAATAGAATTGAAATTAGTTAAGAACGAATCAATTGAAGGCGAAAAGGATTCAGAAGAAAAGGAAGAGAAACCCAAAGAAGAAAAGGAATCTAAAGAAAATGAAGAAAAGCATTCAGAAGGGGAAGAAAGTGTATCAGATGCTCCAAAAAAAACTGAAACCGAAGAACAAACTAAAAAGGATAATAAAGTTGATGTTACAACTGCCGGTGACCATGAAAAACCACCGGCTAAACAAGATCAATTTGAGAAAGTTTCGAAAAAAGAGGAAACCGATGCCGATCTATGTGCAAAACAAGCCGCCGAACTAAAGGCTATGTTTCCCGATCTAGAAGTGATTCAACCTCTCTCGAGGCTATCACAAATCGATACATTTGTTTTGCAAGATAAGCAAGGCACAGGGGCTTTGGATTTCAGCGAGACAACGGTAGCACAACTTTTTAACAATGCAGTCAAATGGCCAAGAGAATACGCATTACAAGTCCGTCTTCAACATATTATCTATGCAATCGAAACAAAAGAATGGCCGGCTTCAAAGACATTTTCTGCATACGCCAACGGTATTGGACCGGAATTCGACGTTCCTATACATGAAGTACCGAACGAACCGCCGCCAAAACGTGAAACGTCCACGCCAATGTCTTCAGTTGGCGATTCGGAAATAATCACTATTACTACTGACAGCCTGAACCGTAATAATGCAAATAGTAAAAAACGAAAGCGTCATATTGCAATCGATGTTGAAACTGAACGAGCGAAATTGCATGCGTTACTTAACAGCAGTCATGGAAATTTGGCATCAGTGAAAACAACAACGGGAAATGCAGCGTCTTCTACCTGGGCTGACAATGACGATTCGGAAGATTCGCGCAGATCTACGCCCATTTCGCAGCATTTGCAACCTCCTCCTGCTCACCAGCAAACAACCCGTGTACTAAGTATGCCCTACGACCTTAAATACCACACACCAAAAACAATCGGACAAACATCAGTTATACCGGGGACAAGTAGTACACTCACTCCAATTGATCTTAGCTCAGGGTAAGTAGATTTCAGTTGATTCAGTTTTAGATAAAATAATACATACACTCACTTACACAGAGATGACTATAGATTGGTCGTTTAGTATCTTATACAGGATACCAAAATGTTCAATTTAAAGGCTTTTCTAGTGAGTTATTCCTCAACTTTGTGTACCTACATGGAAATAGATAAATTAAATCTGTTTTTTGTAAAAAAAAAACAGAAAGTTAACATCTTTAAATAACACTAATACACTACCTCAGAAATATTAAAGAATTCAGATGTAGAGAGTAATTTTGGTTTTCATTTATAGAATGCCGAAAACAAATTTATTAGAAGTACAAAAGACATCTAACTCTACTAGCCAAGATATTCAAAATGAAGTCCAGGACTTCTCATTGAAAAAGAACGTAAATCCTTCTACCAGTTTAACAGCCCCAACTTTAAAAAGCAGTGGAAATAAATTAGATGATACTCTTTTCAAACTTATGAAACGAAAAAATTGCGTAAGTTTGCTATCAATTTATTACCATTAAATAATATTTTAAATCGATAAAAGTATAAGGATTCCATAATTGAAGTACACTAAACGCTATTTTTTTTTAATTTAGCCGATTGAAGAACCAGTTGTGGGTAAAGAGAAAAAACGTCGTAAATTGGATGAAATTGTACTAGGTTTATCGGCAGCCAAAGAACAATCATTATTTCCTGAAACATCAAAGAAACCATCAATTTCTCCTAGTGTAACAGTTACACCAACATCTGCACCACTTTCGACGTCACATGCGCCACCAGTTTCGCAACAAAAACCGTTTTCCATTACAGTGACTTCATTACCATCTCCCGCAGCTCAAAGAAATACGGGCACCCCCAATCTTAAATCGCCTCTGTCTACCTCCCTTTCAAGTACTCTTACTAAAGATAGCTTCCAAAGCTTTTTAGCCCAAGCAGAGCAGCAAAATTTCTTACTCAAGAAACATCAACAACAACAGCAAAAAAGTTACGAAGCAATGATAACGGATATGAACAAAGTGGCGGATTTCAGTTCTAAAATTAACTCTTATTCACACGAAGCGAAAGTAAATAAATGGCTGGCGGAACAGAACGTAGCTGCTGCAGTAGCTGAACAACCCTTCGTAGCTGATTATCTGTCTGCACCAAGAAGGCGAAGACCGCGCGTCGACCCGTCTCTTCTCGATTGGAAGAAACTTACCGGTGATGAAAACGTCTCTGTTATTCATCGAGTGACCGGCAAGAAATTGACAGGGCCCAAAGCTCCGACCCTAAAAAGATTGGGACAATGGTTAATGGAAAACCCAATGTATGACATAGATCCGAAATGGTCTGAACTAGTTAAAGAACGCGGTAATCTTAGTCACGACTTGCAAAAACGTTTACCGGCACAGCAGAAAAAGTCTGCGCCTGGGAGACCGCCGATGCTTTCTAGTCCTTCGGGCAGTAACACAAATCTGCAATCGTCTATGTCATCTGCGTTACAATTTCCTTCTTTGGCTGGTCTTAATCCAAATCTTCTTTCTGGGCTTTCGGGTCTAGGCCAATTCGACCCAAAAAATCCACTTTTCGATCCGAAAAACAATCCTCTTTTCGACCCCAAAAACAATCCGCTGTTTGACCCAAAGAACAGTTCTCTTTTTGATCCCAAGAATAGTCCTCTGTTTGATCCAAAGAACAGTCCACTTTTTGATCCGAAAAATCCACTGTTCGATCCGAAAAATAACCCACTATTTGATCCGAAAAACACTCTATTAATGCCGTTTGCAGCGGGAATGCCAAATGTAAATGCTCTGAATTCAATGGCCGGACTCGGCAACTTGGGTAATATGAACTTGTTCGCAAACTTAGCGGGTCTCGGTCTTCCAAATTTAGCCGGACTCGATCCCGTAACTTTAGCTGCCACTGATCCAACAAAAGTGAAGTCGTCAAGTGGAAGTTCATCAGAGAAAAACAAGATGCAAAAACCTATGGAAGCGCACGGTGGTGGTGGTGGGAATTCATCTTCGAATAAACCATCAGCGTCTTCTGGAGGCGGTGGGGGAGCAGGAGGAGGTGGGGGGTCGTTACCCACTTCCTCGCCCTTCCCATTCTTTTTCCCGAATCCAAGTCTGCTGTACACTCCACTTGGTTTAGGTGGTTTGAACCCTTTCGCATTGCAGCCTGGTATGACTGCTGCATACGACACCTTGGCACAACAGTGCGGACTATTAAACGGCAGTTTAGGATCTACGGCAGCATCACCAAGTTCTCATGGTAAATCTAAACAACCACCGTCGTCGACGTCAGCTGGCAGCTCTTCCAAGGGCCCATCGGTTACTTCTACAGCGACGATATCGTCCAGTCACAGCACTGCAAAGTCGCCGAGGCCACGAAGTGACACACAGTTACACAACCTTCTCTTGCCGCCCGACACGCAACTGCTTGAAAGTATCTCAAAGGTAACGGAAATTTTTTTATGTAACTTTTAAGACAGAGAAATAGGTACTTAATACTATATTGTTTTTTTGTAATTTTTAAACTAAAATTGGGTTTCTACTTATTTACATTGACTATAATTTGGCCCTAAAGAAGTCAAAAAGACATAAAAGGAAAATGATGAAGCTTACTGTGGTATAACGTGAATTAAATGATTTAAAAAGTCAAGGGAAAATTTGAGTGCAGTTTTTTATTTGTATTACTCAAGTGATTTCTTGTACAAGAAAAAACAAGTTCTTAATATTGTTTTATTTTTAAAGGTGGCCGGAAACTTGGACGCGTCCATAAAACAACAAATGAAACTTGATAGGAGAGACGAAAAACAAAAGGCTTTCGACAACCAACAAAAAACATTAGAACACTTACGAGGCATGTTGCCAACAGATTTTATGATGGCACCCGATAAGTTAAAAGGAATGAAAGATATACCCACTTTTGCCGATTTCAGTAAATTCCTTGAAGTTAGCCAACATTTGAGTGGAGGCCCATCCATGGCAGCGGCCGTGGTGCCCTCTAAGAAGTCGCGAGAACAGGAAATGAAGGAAGCTCTTGAAAAATTGAGTAAAAACAATTCGGAATTACTGGCTAGAACTGTACCTGATGAACAACAAAGGCTCATGCCTTCTAGCTCAAACAAGAGACAAAGAGAATCCGTTCCAAAAGAAGTAAGTTAATTGTTTATGTACTGATGATTATTTTATTGTTTTAATAATCATTTCAAAATTATTACCACACACTTATTTAGATTGTATAGAATGCATTCAGATTGTCTTAATTTTTGCTTTTACTGTTTGTGTTAATAATGTGTAATTAAAGTTAGTGATTTTTTACTCATTTTTTCAACGTAAAGAATAGGTAGTTAAAAAGATCGTGTTGCAAGATGCCAATATGTGGAGTACACGTTTTTGATACAATTTTTACTGTCGGTTCTCTTATTCTTTAAAGCTTTACAGAATACTTTATAATTGAAATATATTTATTTGTAAAAAAACAATATAATTTATTAGATATATATATATATATANTTCTATATATATATATATATATATATATTGCATTAAAAATACTTGTTTCTTTTATAGGTACCTGAGAATCTTAGTTACAGCAAAGAAGATGACCTCAATCCATCGAAACGACTTAAGGAATCACGGGACAGAGAAACTCCTAATCTTCCCACCATGGTCGCTGTGTCATCTGCTTCTTCAACGCTTTTACCGCCGACAACAATGGCAACCGCAGTGGATATAGAAACCCTATTACCACCCTCTACCGTCGTAAAATGTTCACCGGGGAGTTCCCCTGTAAAGGACGACAACAAACAATCAGAAAATGCCATCCCTCAAAATTTAGAGGACAGTCAACAACAGCTGCAGCAGTCAGCCGATACGAAACTATCTGAGAGTGAAAATACGGAGACCGCTGCACTTCCTCCTCCATCGTCATCCTCACAATCGCCACCCTTGTCTCAAATTGATGGAACTATTTCTAAGACGTCGGAAGATAAGGAACAGTCTTCAGAAACGCAACAACGAAGTAATGAGACCGGTGCCAACGAGGCTACCGAAACGCCAGCTAAAGGTAAAAAAAGGACGAGGGGTAAACGTAGATCAGGCGAGATAATCTTAGATCCGGAAGGTGTTATCGAACGAAAGAATTTAAGGTCGAGTGCGAGTAGGTCAGCGGCAATAGCTGCAGCCAGAGCAGCCTCTGCAGAACAGAAACAGTTGGAAGCAGCGGCGGAGAATGCGCAAAAGAACCAGGAGCAAAACGATGCATCGTAATCATAAAAGTGCTTGGTGTCTGTCAGTTTGTGTGTGCGTGTGTATTATAATCCAGTAGATGTTAGTGAAACTGCTCTTTATTTTGTCTTTTTAAAAGGAAAGTCAAATGGTAATTAATTTGTGGGTATTTGGTGAACTCTGTGATACATTAAATTGACACTGATCTATAGAGAAATTTTGTGCGATGTCGGACGCTCTCGTGCGAAGGTCTGGGACGACACCCATTTTTAGGAATTAGTATTGCTTTATTATTATTATCATTAAAAACATTGACGAACTGAATTTATCATTACGCTTGACAGATGTATTTCCAAATATTAATAATGAACATCATGTAGTTAGAATCATCGTGTAATCAAATTGCAAATCGAAACAGTTAACATTTTTTGTTTTTTTACATTTTATTTATTGTGCACATTTTTTTCTATTAGCGTGAATGCTTAATTTTATTTTAAGAACCGTGACCTTTAGTATTTTATTTTTACGTAATGTGTACACATCTTTCAACAATTATTTATACATTTAGTTGCTTTTTTGTATATATACTTTGTTCAGTGCTGCGATATAACAATTGTATTTTTTCTCTTGTAATTGTAATGCCATTACCGCTGATACAATTTTTGGTTAAATTCTGCTATTTTATATTTTTTTGTACATATATATATGGCGACAAACAATGCGGTGAAGAGGGTGAAAATTCAATTGTGAAAAATGTAAATAAGTATACAATCATTGTTTTGTTTTTCTTTTTAGTGTCTGCAGCTTATTGAAAAAAGTTGCTGCAGTTGGAGAAAAAAGCAAATGTTAATTTATTTTAAGATTATTTTGCGTGTCCACCATTACGTATTTATTGTTTCGAATCTGCATTTATGTCCTGGTTTCCGCTGCCAGTTTCATTTTTAGATCTGTTGTATGAAGTAAAACGACACGTATACATACACGTATTGTAATAGCATGGTAGCTCTCTCATTTTATTGTTATAATGTTCATATACATAGATAAATAAACCGTGAAGCTATTTCATTACTTTCTTCCCTAAACAGATAAGAAAATGGAAATCGGTCAAATATGTTAATGAAGATGCACAATATTTAAGAGTTCTGTTGTAGTGACTTGTGACCAGAACCGTCGTTACGATTTATTTGAAATAGAAAATACAGCATGCTGGGACAACAACACCCTTTCTGTGGTATTGAGGTAAAAATATGTATTTAAAATAAACTAAAATAATATTTGTCAGTAAACTATTGCCAATCATGTTTCAGATGTAAGGTGCTGCTCATCGTCTGGACAGACAGAACACATCGCAGTTATAAAGGTGACTTAACCTATTGGTGTTAGAGTCAATTAGAAACCGTAAGAAATTGATTGAGTTATTTGTTTAAAACGTTTTCATAACTTGCAAGTAGTATTTTTTCGAGGATTCCGAATAATTTTTAACGGTGAAAATTTACAGGCGTATTTTTGTCTTGTTTATTTTAATTAACATTCAAAAACTGTACACCCCTAAATTCTACATACGTTTTTAAGTTTTGTTAATCTTTTATAAGTTAAAAAAGCACATTAACTGAAAAATTAAGTTAAGAATGCCTAGGACCACTAAATGCTTACTCATTACTACATATTTTTCAATTTTTAACTTATTAACGGAGTTGAAAGTATCAAAATCTAACAAAATAATTGCCGGTTAACACATGCAACGTCTTCATGAATAAAACTTAGTTATAAATGATTTTAATTACTTTAAATTAATGTTTTTGAGGGTATTATTCATTTTTACACAGCTTGCAGTGCAGTCCTGTACGGTGGGTTGTCTACATGAAAGGCGGTCATTTTGGAATTTAAAAGTATGTTTGGATATAAACATTATTTAGTATCTATTTGGAATGTGTGCGTCTGAGTATAGTGCAAAAAAAGATAAAACATGTGTTCACACTTGTTTATACGTTTATATGTTAAAAGATGTGAACAAAAAACGTTCGTTTTATTTGAGAAAGTTGTACGTTTTACCATAAATTGAGTAAGCATGTGGACTTCGATTATTCAAACAGATTTTAAGACGCCCCACTATATTAAAAAAGATAGTACTCAATAACATATATAAAAATCATGGAGATGACACCGTACATGTCAGTATTACTATATTATTTTAAAAAAATATTCTGTGAAAGAAACCAAAAATTTATAAAAATACTCGATATATGTTACTTCAGAATTCAAGATTTTATCTTTTGAATTTTAAATAATTTGCGCCAAAATTATATATCGCGCCTGCAGCGCTCTCTCCCATCAGCTTCGCTAACGTTCGGATAATCTCGTTACCAGTTCCACCCTTTGTGTATCTATTATCTATGGGTATCAATTATCTATGAGTTCCACTAAGGTGATTATTCAGATAAAATAATTTGTTTTAAAACTAGTTATCGTGATAATTAATAATAGTGGATATATTTAAACTGTGTGTTTCTCAAGCGGCTATTATATCATCAGTAACGTCGATGTGACAAAATAAAGTAATACATAGGTACTTATTATATTTGTTAATTTCGCCGATAAATGTTTTTATTTTTGTGGGCATCAGTTGTGATTTTTTATCTAAATTTTTGATAAATAAAACTTTGAGAAAGTGTTATACAACAAGCAAAATATGTACTGTAGTAGCTCCTAAAATTACAGTTTCATCTGTGGTATGTATTTTTATTAGGTGGGCAGTAAGGACATTAACCCCCCGGTTTTGACAATCTAGGAAATGCATAAAAACTTGTTTTGGTGCCGCTGTTGTTGTATCATGTTAGGTATTTTTAAATCTACATAAATAATAATGCATAGAAAAATGTGTTTTTATAATATTATATGAATTTATAAAAGAAATGCAAGAACATAAAATTAATTAAAAACAACATATTAAAGGTAACATAAACTACGCTTTACTCTTCTTAGAAAACATTTCCCTTTTGCCCGAAAAGCTCCGTTTGTTAGTTTTTTTTTTCAAAATCGATCTTAGAAACATGTCACAGTGTTATTGTGTGAGGCATGTTTCTGCAACAATTAAAATGAATCGAATACTCTAAAAAATAATATCGTATCAAAATAAATATGACGAGTTCTGTTACAATTATACTCAATCAGATCGGGAATTGTAGGCAACACACACTACACCTGTGTACCTGGTAAAAAAAATAAATGTGCTAAAGAATGTGCTTTTCACCATATTCATTTTTTACGACTTTAATTGATTTTCACGGTTTTCATTTATTTTTTAGGGTATTTTTTTGGATACAAAAATGGTAAATGTATGTGAAATGTTAAAAATTTGAATAACTTTTTGAATTGTGGAATAGCAAAAACAAAATTTTTTTAGTATTCTCTTTGTAGAATAATTTCGTTAAGCAATTAATACTTGATAACGGTGAACAAAAACATTTAAATGTTTCGGGAATAGAGTTTATTAATTCATTTGTATTTCACAATTCCGAAAATGTTCTCAACTTTCGAATTTCAAATAATTCGCGCCAGAGTACATCTTGCACCTACACCGCTCCCTTTCGCCAAGTTCACTAACGTTCGAATAATCTCGTTACCAGTTGCATTTTCGTGGTTTTGAATTTACATACAATAATTTCTCGTTTTATCTAATTATCGTGATAATTTCTTATAGTGGATGTATTTAAATTTTATCAGAGTATATTTTAAACTGGCATCATGCAATAACCAACGATTATTTAATAAAAGAAAGTAATACATGTTGACTATAATATGTATTACTATCTTTTTCGAGTTTAACAGAGTCGTTGATGACGTACTTCCTTCTTGTTCACTTTATCACTTTTCACTGGTGTACTGCATTTTCTACCGTTCGTAGATGTTATGTGCATTTTTGATAAAAAAAATTGGAAAGAGTAATGGTACATACAAAATTTGTATCACAATAGGTTCTGGAATTACGATTTTATCCGTGGTATGTATTTTTATTATTCAGATATCGCATTATTTTTACGATTCTCATTAATTAAATTGTTAAGTAAATGGACGGTGTAAGCGTTTCTCCGCCATGTTTGATAAACTAGCAAAAACCTGAAAACTTGTTAATGCATATCTATCGAGTTTATGAATAAAAAGTTACTCGTTCAGTATAAATAAAATTGATTTGTCGATTGATTTTGTAAAATAATTCAGTTGTATGTAACAAAATGAATGTTTTCGTTCATTAAAATTTTTCTTGACCTATAAAATTATCTTTTACTTTCATTTGTTCTTTCTACAGATGTACTTTGGAATAGACTGTTTCCAGCCTTTACCAATGCCAAATACTGTTTCGTCCAGCTGTTCAACCTACACACAGACGATGCATTTCTTTTTGTCTTTGTTTCCAAGAGGTAAGATGAAAATAAATTTCATTTTTATTAAATTTTACATGTTGAAATCAATATCAATAGATACTTCTGGCAATTGAAACTTCTTCAAAGATTGTATGTGGAATTTTTGGGTTTTGATACTTTATTTTGTTGTTAAATTGCAGATTTATCTTTGGGAAATGTTCTAAGAATCATTTGTAAGGCTTTTATTAAAAATAAAGTTTTGATTAACAAGAGCAGGAACAAATGTTAACTTCTGCTGTGATGTTCTTTTGTTTTAGAAAATACATATGATAATTTTTTTTTTTGTTTTTATTTTACTTATTTAATAGTAGGTAATAATTTTTTTGTCTATTTCTGCAGATTGACTTTGAATGAGAAGGAGAAAGACAACACTGAAGTTGATTTGGATGTTATGCAGCAACCAGTATCTACAATGGTATTGTGGTTTTTTCTGGACTTTGTATTCTGTTGTTGTCCTCATCTTGCAGCATTATGCAGTTAAGTTTGGGCCGATGAAAGAGAACAACGGGAAATTTTTTTTAAAAGCACTAAACGTGTTACCATTCTTCCTGGGCTTGGCTTGCCCTTCACACTTGTAAAACTTTGGAACATTGCATTCTACAGTTAATTAAGGTGAGAATACATGACATAATTAATATTAATGCTCTTTATTAATCTGTCATGGTGTTTATTTTAACAATTATCTATTATCAATAAAATAAATTGACGTTATCGTGCATCTATAATTATTTTACATTTATCTGCGTTGTGATGTAAAGTGCGTTAATCGTCATTTTATAATTCAGTAATTTTACTTGCTTTTTGATGCAAGTTTTGTTGTATTTTATATGTTATTTATATGAAAGTGTAATTTTCTTGTAGGCGTTTAATGCCTTCTGTAATGAATAGTGTAATTAATGTGTTTTTTTGCCAATTTCTGCAGATTGATCAAGTAAGAAAATTAAAGTTCATGTTGGTTGCATCTAAATAACCAATTTCTACATTGGAGGCATAATGCAGTTAATTTTGGGCTGATGAGATAGAACTGGAAATTTATTTGGAAACCAAACATGTCATTGTTCGTTCATTTGACTTGCTCTTCACACTTGTAAAACTCTGGAACGTTGCATTCTTCATTTATTTAAGGTGAGAATATATGATGTGATTGGTATTAATGTTCTTTATTAATTTGTTTTGGTGTTTATTTTAATATCTACTGTTCTTAGCACAAATTGAGGTTATCGTACATCTATGGTAATTCATTCAGCAGTTATCTATTGTCCTTAGTAAATTGACATTGTTCATTTTTGTTCATAAAATAAATTGAGATTGTGAATCTATGATTGTTTCACATTTATCTATGCTATGATGTAAATTGACAGTTGTTGCCATCTTATAATTCTGTCATTTTATTTGCGTTTTGATGCATATTTTGTTGTATTTCGTATCTTATTTATGTGACAGTGTAATTAATTAGTACTTTCTTTTAGGTGTTTAATGCCTTCCGTAATTATTTGTTTAATTAATATGTTTTTTTGCCGATTTCTGCAGATTG